TTAGAGCGCGAATTTACTGACCGGAAGGTCCGTGGCTCGAACCCGACCTCTGCCTCTCTATTTCCCCTGTCTAGGCTTGGGCGACCTGGCAGTATCCCAGCCCTCGTGCCTCCTCCGTGTGGCATGGCAGCTAGGCACCGAAGGGGTGCTACAGCTGAACGATTTTTTTAATCCAAATACAAATAATGATCTCCAATTGAAATTTCACTCTGTTAGTGAAGCCAATCTATGCTGATTGATCAAGAAGCACTGCACAGCTGCGGGAATCATCGACAGTACGCATCTGACGAAAACCCAGGAAGTCCCGAGATCCCGGCTAGTAGGTCGGACACTTAACCGTTCGGTCAAGAGCAGCTGATCAGAATTGTGATTAACTCACCCAAAAGCTTGGAGGAGTGCCTGTGGTTTTGTGAGACATCGATGGGAAACGGGATCAAGGCTTTTGAGAGGATCGCTAACCACTTTAATCCCGTCACGTATAAGAAAAGAGCGAGCAGTACGTGTACCAGTGTGCCAATGGCTTTATTACGACGTCAAAAGTGAGGCTATTTACAACACATTCTATCATTATCGAATTGCTGAGACTGATGAAAGGAGAAGAGAGCTACAATCAGTTGAAAACACAAACATCCCATGGGCAGATGCTCTGCAGGTAACTAAAAAAATCATTCAGCTGTAGCACCCTTTCGGTGCCTAGCTGCCATGCCACCCAAAGGAGCACGAGGGCTTGGGTAATGTCAGGTTGCCCAAGCATAGACAGTGGAAGTCGAGAGGCTGAGGTCGGGTTCGAACCACGGACCTTCCGGTAAGTAAATTCGCGCTCTACCTACTTGGTCCATCTCGTCCCCTGGAGGTAACTAGGTGGTTGTTACTGGCAAACGCGACACTTGTGAAACGCACGCACCTCTCGGTGGATGAAATGGTTGAGGGCATAAGAGTGTGTTTGTATCTCGATCAGTTTGTTTTTGACAAAAATGTTTACTCACAAGAAAGAGATCTTACAATGGGATCTCCAATATCCCCAATTTTAGCTAATAATTATACGGAGGACATCGAACACATGGCCTTGGCCGGACACCATTGTCCGTCGAAAGTTTTTTCGGGGTTATATTGAGGATGCCTTTATTGTAATCAAACGGGACAACGTGAACAGATTCCACAACCATCTCAATAGTTTAAATCCACACATCAAGTTTAGCACGGAGATAGAGTCCACCTCCGGTATATTACTCTTCCTGGACTGTATAACATACACGGGTGGTGGTAACCTAAAAACTACTATCTACCAGAAACCAAAAGACACAGGAACCGTTTTAAACAACTCAGCAGCACACCCAAAGTCCGTGTACTTCCAGCAGTCCCATCGATGTTTAGTCGGGTCAGAGCGCTGTGCACAGAAGAGATCGACCGAACGGCAGCTCAAATCGACATTGCCAACAAACTTCAAGAAATAGGATACCCAGTGAGTTTGATCAAGCCTCAACTAAGAAAGATATTGGCTCCAGTATCTAGACCCAGTAAGGAATGGATTGGCACAGCAGTCATTCCATATAAAGCGGGAACATCGGAGGTTATTCGAAGATTGTTAAACATAGCCAACATTCAAGTAGCTTTTCAGAAGGGAAAACGCTACGCTCTGTTACTATTAGAAAGGTCAGCTTCCTGAAAGCAACCACTGAATGCCCGGAATCTACGGAGACTCTCAGCTCCGCTAGATGTTGACCAGACAGATAGCGACCCCTCAATATGCAGCGCTTCACAGCCTTGTATCAAACCCAGACAGCGCGAGTCAGCGTTGATCAAGGTCAGACAACGCATCCGCGTCGCAGCCTCCTACCAAAGCCAGACCGCGTGCGTCAGCACTGGACCAAGGCTACAGCTGAACGATTTTTTTAATCCAAATACAAATAATGATCTCCAATTGAAATTTCACTCTGTTAGTGAAGCCAATCTATGCTGATTGATCAAGAAGCACTGCACAGCTGCGGGAATCATCGACAGTACGCATCTGACGAAAACCCAGGAAGTCCCGAGATCCCGGCTAGTAGGTCGGACACTTAACCGTTCGGTCAAGAGCAGCTGATCAGAATTGTGATTAACTCACCCAAAAGCTTGGAGGAGTGCCTGTGGTTTTGTGAGACATCGATGGGAAACGGGATCAAGGCTTTTGAGAGGATCGCTAACCACTTTAATCCCGTCACGTATAAGAAAAGAGCGAGCAGTACGTGTACCAGTGTGCCAATGGCTTTATTACGACGTCAAAAGTGAGGCTATTTACAACACATTCTATCATTATCGAATTGCTGAGACTGATGAAAGGAGAAGAGAGCTACAATCAGTTGAAAACACAAACATCCCATGGGCAGATGCTCTGCAGGTAACTAAAAAATCATTCAGCTGTATCACCCTTTCGGTGCCTAGCTGCCATGCCACCCAAAGGAGCACGAGGGCTTGGGTAATGTCAGGTTGCCCAAGCATAGACAGTGGAAGTCGAGAGGCTGAGGTCGGGTTCGAACCACGGACCTTCCGGTAAGTAAATTCGCGCTCTACCTACTTGGTCCATCTCGTCCCCTGGAGGTAACTAGGTGGTTGTTACTGGCAAACGCGACACTTGTGAAACGCACGCACCTCTCGGTGGATGAAATGGTTGAGGGCATAAGAGTGTGTTTGTATCTCGATCAGTTTGTTTTTGACAAAAATGTTTACTCACAAGAAAGAGATCTTACAATGGGATCTCCAATATCCCCAATTTTAGCTAATAATTATACGGAGGACATCGAACACATGGCCTTGGCCGGACACCATTGTCCGTCGAAAGTTTTTTCGGGGTTATATTGAGGATGCCTTTATTGTAATCAAACGGGACAACGTGAACAGATTCCACAACCATCTCAATAGTTTAAATCCACACATCAAGTTTAGCACGGAGATAGAGTCCACCTCCGGTATATTACTCTTCCTGGACTGTATAACATACACGGGTGGTGGTAACCTAAAAACTACTATCTACCAGAAACCAAAAGACACAGGAACCGTTTTAAACAACTCAGCAGCACACCCAAAGTCCGTGTACTTCCAGCAGTCCCATCGATGTTTAGTCGGGTCAGAGCGCTGTGCACAGAAGAGATCGACCGAACGGCAGCTCAAATCGACATTGCCAACAAACTTCAAGAAATAGGATACCCAGTGAGTTTGATCAAGCCTCAACTAAGAAAGATATTGGCTCCAGTATCTAGACCCATTAAGGAATGGATTGGCACAGCAGTCATTCCATATAAAGCGGGAACATCGGAGGTTATTCGAAGATTGTTAAACATAGCCAACATTCAAGTAGCTTTTCAGAAGGGAAAACGCTACGCTCTGTTACTATTAGAAAGGTCAGCTTCCCGAAAGCAACCACTGAATGCCCGGAATCTACGGAGACTCTCAGCTCCGCTAGATGTTGACCAGACAGATAGCGACCCCTCAATATGCAGCGCTTCACAGCCTTGTATCAAACCCAGACAGCGCGAGTCAGCGTTGATCACGGTCAGACAACGCCCCCGCAATAGCAGCACGTCGCAGCCTCGTACCAAAGCCAGACCGTGTGCGTCAGCATTGGACCAAGTGCAGTGTTCCTCCAATAAATAGCTTGAGAACGTTGTATTCTCGCACTCGCACACACTCACGCCCTGGCAATCGCTTGTTCGAAATATAACTGTTGTGCTCCCTTCTGTGAGTCTTTTTTCTCCGGCACTAGGCACTGGAGCGGACCAGCAGCAGATACCTCAGATTGGCGAATCAGCAGATATAACCGTTTCGGTATGATTGAAAGGTCCCCACCCGGCTGAAAAGACTGGGGACTATGTGCATAAAATTAACCGCAACGACTGTACTAAGGTTGACATGGGACAAACTGCCAGTGAATCGCACACCAGAATTGGTGAGCATAAAAGAAAGATAAACCAACCAACAAAGGATTCGGGAGAATACCAAACGCTGGTCAGAGTCAGCGATGGCGACACACGCCTTAGACACGTGACATAAATTAGGTCTGGAGAATGTGGAAGTTTTAAGACGGGGATTGCGATTCGCACCATAGAGGCCGATAGCCGAGGCGTGAACAGAATCGAGGGTGTGGAACTGGGGCGCGTATGGAAAGCGGTCTTAGATAAGCCGAGTGACTTGTGATTGTCAATTCATTAGCAAAAACAGAGGGAGGGGGGAGGTTGGAAATCCCAACCCGGCCAAAGTTCACAGAATTCTTACACAGTTATCATAGCACTAGCACATTCACACAGACGGACAGAAAGTGTAAACGAAGTGAACCAAACCAGAAGAACTAGACCCTAGACTGGACCCATCGGCCGAACAGTTGGTCACCCGCACACTAACACACAGAATCCATTGACCGATACCTAACAGGGATTTAGCTTGACCTTGTTGATTGGTTCTCCTTCCGCCTTAAATCTCGACCAATCCCGTAACCTTGGCTTGACGAAGCTATTGTGTCCAGCAATAAACCTACCGATTGTTATTGAACTTTTCCGGAAAGAGAGCGTATTATGATAGAGGAGCTGAAACATATGGAGGGAAGACGATCCATTACACTAGCAAGACCATCAGCAATAAAGGATTTGGCTAAGTTTACCGTTATTCAGAGTACAGAGTGCGCTGCACCGCTAACAAATCCATTAGTGCAACTCATTCGGTGGTTTTTCGCAGCAGAGGGCATGATCTCCTTCATTCAGTAAAGCGCTTTTGCATCCCTAGGCAGGCATTGATACACATTATTACAGACTACTATTAATAGCAGTATCCAATTCTACCTTCAGATTAAGCTGAATCGGCCATCATGTGGTAGTATTACAGCGCATGCTATCTATGACCCCTAGTTATCTAGTCTAAATGAAGGAAATCTCAGCCTTAATCGATATCGACCGATGGTCACTGATAATGAAGCAATATTACTAACGCGATCATGAGACTACTTCCATAAGGAAATGTTTATTACAGGAATGGACAATTGCGGAGGGAAGAAATTCCGACGAAACGATTTGGTCCCAAACAAATCTGCCAGTATCAAGCATCATTTTGTCGTTCATTGTAGCAACAAACCGCGCTATCCTCGAACATTCCGGAATTATTCACATGTGGACCGACGACCAAACCCATTACAATCTGCCAAGTTATCCAAGTTATTACCACATCACACTCGGAAGCTCGGCAGCAAACGGCCTCAAATGTACACAGGATGTTGGTGGCTGTGTGTTGAATACCTTAGGAAATCGACCACCAGTTATGGGAACCCACGACCACAAACAGACACCAATCACAACGGGACGTAGCCTTTAAAAACACGCAGAGAGAGAAGGGGTGAATCTTTTTCATATTTGGAGTGAGAAGAATACCAATAATACCAGTTTGAAAAGGAGGGAGGTGGAGGCATTGAAATACGGATAGAGTTGACCGGAGTAAGCAGGTTCAATCGGCACTCAGTCCAACATAATGAGATCATCATCCTCGTCTTCGTTATCGACTACCGCATGAATCGGTATTGATGACCCCAGATTTGCAAGTTTCGAGGCAACGGGGTTGGGCGATGGACTTGAGCGTACTTTATCAACCGATGCATCATGAGTGTCGGCTTCAGATGACAACCGCGGACGTTTTACAGGTCTTGGAGATGTCTCACCTTCCTCATCGCTAAGGATTGCAACTGAAAAGACAACATAATGTAGGAATAAGGTTATGGACAAACTACATACAACGGGTGCTTTCATCAAACAATGGTCACGTGACTGGATATCATATTGGTCCTTATGGTATTGGACGGTGTAGACCAACAAACAGCTCGTAGAGAGACATTGAAAACACAGACAATATATGAAAGGTCAGTTAGTGGTGAATTTCTCTACTAAAGTGTCCTGCAACTCGGCGGGTGCTGCCTTTATCTCCATATTCCGTCTATCATGAATGACTGTCATTAATCCACTCGACAGCAACAGTCAATCTCATATACTCCGGACGTCTCAGTATAGTCCGGAGTTGGTACCTTGGTAAATGGATAATGTCGACGGTTGCGCTCAATTTATACACCCGAAAGAGACCATAAGAACGGTTTAACAGGAGCCCAGTCACTTTCCACAATTGAAAACACAGTGAAAGTGTGTATCAGTTGATGGTCCATCAATCGTCCAACCTGACAAGCAGGCTAAAACCTGGTTCAAAGCCCTCAACAATGAAGACGACAGAAAAGAAAGAGAGCGTTCAGCTGTAGCACCCTTTCGGTGCCTAGTTGCCATGCCAACCGAAGGAGGCACGAGGGATGGCATACTGCCGGGTTGCCCAAGCCTAGACAGGGGAGACGGAGGTCGGATTCGAACCACGGACCTTCCGGTCAATAAATTCGCGCTCTTACCACTTGGGTCATTTCACCCCCGGACGACAGAAGCGAGCTATGGTCCATCGGGTAGAATCGAATCGCCATGAGACCAATGTTACTGAGCTATTCGCTACTAGTTTCGTGCGTCGAATCTCGTGAATCCACAGCAAGATCCGAACTCATAACGGCACAATGCTTCTCGGCTTCGTGGCGTAGACTGAATTCATTCGCAGAAGGAAGTCTCCGTGGAAAAACTATCAAAGTTTTAAAAGTTGGAGAGATGTGGAGCTATCATTAAGTTAGTTCGCTTCTGTGAACTACTACTAAAACACTAGTATCGGACCAACTTTTCCGTTCACTACTTATGAGTAGTCTTCGCACTATACGAAGTGATTTGTTCCAGTTAGCAAAAATCCATGGGAAGATGGAGCGTCCGAAAGTAAGCTGAGAAGTACCTAATTGAGGTCTTTACATCAGGGTGGTTAAATCGCGTAGCTATGAAGTAGTATTGTTCAAAGTCGCTTTGCCCACACGATCCTCGTCCGTTTCGGTGAAACGCGTTTCCGATGCCAAGGAGGACCCCGGTTGGCGACGAGTGGCTTAATCACCAAAAAGCATCTATAGAGTAGCAGCCATAACGAAGCGTTCTTTGCGCTACCAACAACGGGCCATTTGTTACACGCTCAATTTCATTTCCCAGAACTGTAATGAGGCTAAGGCGATAAGAAGACGCATAAATCAGATGCTAAACGGCTCCAAGAATAGAAAACATTTTGCACTTTCTGTTTGGTCATCTCCCATAGTCTTGGGCCAGATAATCGCCCTCGAGAGGTACCTTGGGTTAGGGAAATGACCCAGGCTAATATGAAAAAAACAAAATTAGACAAGAAGGATGGCGGTCTTGAGGAATCCCAGTTGTAACACGAAAGCATTTGGGGAAGGTTGTGGGACAGCGTGGTCAAAATGAGATGGGATAACAGTACTCATGATTAGTAAGCACCAAGATATGTGAGTATCAACCAGTCATTAAACATGATCACTATCTCTTTCAGGCAAGGGTTAAGTGGACGAGTCGCTTGTTTGTGAGAGCATAATGATGACATGCGAAATGCTATCAAGCACGTACACCATTGAAATACACTCATTTAAATACCAATTTGGTTTTGACGGGAGACTCATCTGGAACCTAGCTGAATCTCTAGTTTACCATGTTTTACACATGAGATTCAGCTGGATTTCAGGTGAGTCTACTGTAAAAACCAAGTTGGTATGCAAATGAGTGCATCTGGCTCATTTGGTGCAACTTGAGTTCAAGAAAAAACAAAGTTGACGGGACCTAGGGAACTGCGCCTAACCGATGAGCCTCAAGAAGGACGAAACCGGTCGTGGACTGTCGTAAATTCCTCAGCAACCTTGCGAGTAGTATACTGCGGTTTTGTTTCCATCCGGAGTACAATTCATAAGTGAGTTATACTTACGACCAACAAAACTTTAGTCGCGCGTTCGGAGGATGGCATTTGCCTATTGAGGCACCCGTTAGAAGAATACGCAACCTAAGAACGACCCTGACATTGAGAGGAATGGTACTTTATGCCCTGGCTCTGAGGATTATTCGGTCAGTGACGTTAGGACGAATCATATTCTACGGAGAGAAAATCAAAGCGATTTGACCAAACGAAGATCGACGGTCCAGGCGGAATATCGCCCTATTACCCCGTGTTGGGGTGTACGGAACCCGGTTCTTCGCGAATCTATGGGTCTTTCAGTGACAATTTTGTGAATGATGTGCAATTTTTTGCTTGATCTTTGGAAGATCGTTCCGAAAGGTAAGTAGCGGAGCAAGTGGTCCTGGAGGGCATTAATTGTTGACGGACCAGCTGTAGTCATTACCAAAAGGGGAAGAATATCTCTATTGACAAGGTGATCATGTGTTTTCCCGATGGTGGATTTAAGCGGCAGTGCTATCCGTTCGTTTGTTTACGCTCACGTTCACGTATTTCGATCTATTATGCATGCTTCGATTTGTCAACCATTATTAGCCCTGAAAATACCATTTTATTAGTCTGTCAGTTCACATGACGGATGTTTGTACCATTTATTCAGTTTTTCCTGAAGATAGCAGTCAGTCGGTCAGTCGATCCTGTTGTGTTACACTCATGTCACTCAAAAATTTATGGCGACGGGCACCAGATACAAAACTGGCATGTGATAATCCTCAGACAGAACAAGGGGGTTGAAAAAAAAACCAACCAACCTTCTGCATGGGATCCGGAAGAACCATTCAAGGCCTCTTTCTTGTCCTCGACTTCTTGATCAGCACGTTGGCCAACTTCCGCCAACAAGCTGTCCACATCACCAACTAGGTGCCAACCCTCAGATGAGTCGTGTGCACTGAAAGCATTGTTAGTACTGGCTGCAGACTGAGAGTCTGCACGAGCCACTTCTGGCGTCACTGCGGAAATATTGAGTTGCAACGTGAACTCCTGACGAAAATCATCGCAACTTAGACGCGAACCATGTCCAACATGAAAATCCGAAAGGGTTTTGTTCAAGGTGTCTGAAAGGGGAAACGAGAAGACTCGCAATTAGGGCTGGGTTTTGAAAATAACATGGCACCGAAATAGATCACAACGGGCTAAAGAAGAAGGACCGCATACTGAGATAAGTTGAGCAGTCAAAAATCGATTCCAGTAGAGAGAACTGGAATAAAGTCTGAAAAACACGCAACATTCTGGTGGGACTAAAAGTGTTTCGGACGGATTCGTAAGATCAAAACACCCGCACGTCTTCAAACCTATCGAATTCAAATATGGACCAACCGCATTATCTGTTATAATCCCATCATGGAACAGAGATGACAGTGGTTAAGGAGGGAACTTACTGATCAAAAGGTCCGGGGTTCCAACCCGACTCCGAATCTGACAGTGTTTTAGTCCTCGTGCTTCCTTCGGGTGGCGTGGCAGCTAGACACCGAAAGGGTTTTACGGCTGAACGATTTTTCATTCTGCCATACTATTTTGCTCTTTGGGTTCCGGAAAACGTTTGATCTTGCTACCTCGCTCTCCCAAACTAATTTCCAAACGCAACCGACTTTATCGCCCACATCTTTATGCCGACGCCTCATCTACATCTTTCTAAAAGCTAACCTGTCCTCTGGAAAGCTCTTTATAGTTAGAACACAAAATCAATAGCTAAGGCATATAGCAAACAATGACTTGGCAGCGAAGTATAAAAGCCTTTACCAACAAACTCAGCTGCACTGGTCATTTCGGTCTACCTGGATAGAGACTTCAAAACGACATCAATCAATGGTTAGAGACATTGTCAGACGGCCCAGCCGCGCCCTCAGTGGCGTTCATGCATAACTCCTTCCAAAATCCCCCTATTAAACAGTCCACTGGTAGTGTTGTATTTACGCACTAATTTATCAGCCCTCGCCTCCAATGCGCAGCTACAACTATTGCACGACAAGTACGCGGTTATCACAGCTGACAATGATGATGATGATGATGAACGAGCTGCCCTGGTGAAGATTCCCAATAGGAATGAAACAGCAGTACAGTGTTTCTCGGCCTTCCAGTATGGACTGGTTGCACTTACGGGATGAAAACACTGTTCAAATTGTCGAATCCCCTCGAACAACTAAAGTCAGGGATTGGTTGTTGATCGGGTGGCTGTTGATTAGCTCGCCAAGCTTGGCAATGGACTTGCAAATGTTTCGTCACCATACGAGGAGACACCATCAGTGCGCCGTTAGGTGGGTATCTCCTGTTAGCCTGCGTGCGTTTATATAGCATTTTAAGACTATCTGATATCTCTTAACGTGATTGGCTAGTTGGGTGACAGCGTTTTTCGTGAATTTATTGGTTCGTTCGTGATCGTTGTTGCGTTGTGGTTTGCGCTCCTTCGAATCGATTAGTCATCCCGATGCCTTCTATTTTTGGTAAACGAATGTCCTCTTCTAGAGTTGCCAGGCAATAATAGAATGAAGCAACCCATTAGTGCCCAATATTTTCAGTGGATTCACAACGTTGGAGTACTTAGCTAGGACATAAGTAGCCTCGGCAGCGAAGCATTGGTGTTGAACACTGATGTCATGCTGTTGATGATCTCCGTTTTTGGTTCCTAGTTCGATCAAGATCACCAGAATAAAACTTACCCTTTCGGCCAAAAAGGAAGCCTCCGAGGACCTGCATACATGCACATTTTGATGATGCACACGCACGACAACGAAGTTGTCGAGGCCAAGGGCACACGCACGACGACGAAGTTGTCGAGGCCAAGGACGTCATCAGACCTTGCCACATTTCACTAAGAACAACGAAATTTTTCGTTAACCGGGTGCAGGGATAGACTTCCCTTTTCTGCGTTGTAATCGAGAAGACACTGCAGTGACTCCCAAAAGATGTTTCTTTATAAAGGAAGTACTGCTAACAAATAAAGCAAGTGTTGAGCTGTAGTACTATTTCGAGGCTAAGCTGGCAAGCCACCCGAAAGGAACACGAGGTCTCTCAGATTGCCTAAGTCTAGACAGGAACAGTCGACATGTCAGGATGGGGTTTGAACCACGGATCTTCCGGTCAGTGAGTTCGCGAACTCATTAATGGATAATCACTGGTGAGGAGTTTGAGTGCACCTGGACTTGGGAGACTCATTTTATCTTTGGTGATTCTAAGCCAACAGGTAGCAAATATATGTTGAGAGAAAAAAACAAAGAATGGTCCAAATGATATTACGTACACCACGTAATCATAGGATAATGTGGTCAGAAGAAAATGTTGCCTATGTGGTGGCCAGGTGTAGTCAATTGAGCGGAACCGGTTGGCGTAAACTCCGATCGATTTCCAAGATAACGTATTCGTAATACATGAGAAGATCGAAGCAAATGGAAACCACATCATTCTTCCAACCCCTAATCCTTCCTCGCTTTACCATGTAGATGCATTTTTCTCGATGTAACGATGTGTGAACACCACTGCTCCAGAATAGCAGCAGTTATCAGCTGTGTGGTGGATACATAGTTGGGATATAAGCTCGGGCTGGAGATATCCCAGTGACCGGACCGGGAAGCCACTGGCAGGAAGGTCGGTAGTCTGAATCCAAATGCGTTCTTTTAACGGATATTTCACCCTACAGGTGAAACCAATCTACAATGAAAAGCTGAGGCCCTGTGCACCTGTTTCATCCCTATTTGGAATCAACAGCACTGTGCACCTTACGGAAAACCAGGGAGTCTCAAACCTCGGACCTCAGGGCTACTTGTTCGAGCACCTAACTGACTGGCCACGAGCGGCTGATCAGTAGCGTGATTAGCTCGCACTAAGAGAGGGCGGACTGAGATGTGATGTGTATCCTGTGATTGAATGACGAGTGGCGCTATATTCAGTCCAAATGCGAGTTAACCACGCTGCTGCGCTAAAGTTTCTAACTGGAGGCTCGAGACTCCCTGGAATCTTGTGAGATCCACACTGCTGATGATTTCAAGGGTGGTGCAGCTGCACGGTGACTGTCGGCCTTCCGGAATAGATTGGCTCCACTTACAGGACGAAATCTCAGTTGAAGATATGAAATCAACTGGGGAGGTCCGTTCGACTAAAGAAGCTCTTCAGGAAAGTGCCATACCTGTTTTTTGTTGTTAAATCTATCCAATCTCTCACACACAACTGTGAGGCACTCCTTAAGGGTAGAAAACCGTGACTCTTAGACCCGGTCTAAGTATAGGGATTCCTTCTTAGAGAAAAATCCTAGTCTCTGGAGAAAAACACGTAGACCAGAACATGGGACGAAAGGTCAACTTACACAAACATTTTTGGAACACCGAATTGTTTAAACATCACAGACACCGACGGAAAGGCCAAAACAACTCGATCGTTCAATTGACTAAGAACCTGCCGAGGCAGGGGACAACAAATGAAGAGGGGACATGTTTCGACCTAGTTCCGGCCGGTCGCACCAACCCAGTACAGATCGACAGTAAGGTTCATCCAAAACCGAGTTGCACTGTTGATACCACCCATAAATCTGCCGGTGCCATTTGAACATCGAGTGCATCCGCAACTTTATTCATATTGAGGATGACCAATCCGTGCCTCCTTCAGGATGGCGCAAACCGCGAGGTGGACAGCACATGACTTGGCAGAAAGGCGTGAAAGAGATCACGAGGAGTTTGGGTGTTGTTGGTGTTGTACGCCTTCCAGGATGGGGTCCACGTAACCCCGTCTGTGCTTGGCTGGATATGTTGCAAGAAATGGCGGCTAATCGATGTCAGTGGCGTTCGTGCTGTCAGTTTCTTTCAAGATGGTCTGATTGAGAAGTTGGAGGTGCTCTCTCTCACCCACCCATTGTCTCTTCTTTTCACTCTGGGGTTTTCAATATAAATATATATATATATATATATATATATATATAACTAGATGAACCCTATGGTTGTACGGAAGTGTAACATCAGTGACAACACTGATGTTGCTATCTTTGATGATGATGAATCAAGAGGAACACTCAGCAGAGAGAATGTGAAATTTCAAGTACGCATGTAGTGTCTTGAAAGTGTGATCCGTACTTTGAACAGAGCTACTTGTCTACCTTGTAAGTGTCTCTGCGAATCACCACCCGGTTAGTTGAAATCGTGTCCCGTAAACGAACACAAAAAAAACAAGGCAACATCTCTGTGCTTTCCACTTGTCTTGTTTATTTGAAGATGTTTTAGTAAGAGCACCTGACATCATCACCAAGAATACTTAAAAAGTTATGACAATAGAGGAAAATGTTGGTAGCTCAGGTATCGTAGATGGTGGTCGTTGGCTTGTTCGCTGAGCTGGGCAATTTGATTGCAAACGTTTCATCACCAATCGAGGTGACATCATCAGTGCGTTTTTGTGGAGCGTAGTAGTGCGTAGCGGTGGGTTGGTGGTTGTGACAATGTGGTGGTTATGACAATTATTCATGTTTGATTAGCTTTATTTTACGCATAAATCTAGGGTCACTGTGGTATGTGCTATCAGGCTAAGTAAGAAGACCCAGTTGCACAATCCGCTTCTAATAAGCTATGAACAATTGACGAGTCAACCACGGGAGCTGAATGTACCAGTAAACTTAGTCGGGTCGGCAACTGCCAGCTCCATGGATGGGGAACCCTGGGACTCAAATCACCAGTGGTTAGTGACATTGGCAGAAATGGCCCAATCACGCAGTCAGTGACACTCGCACATCAAAGCTATCGCCTTCAGTGCGTAGCTACCCGGTTTCCAAACAAACTGAACATGCGTTCACCTCCAAAGCTTGGTTCTACGTTCCACTTTCCCGTTTTCCGGGAAACTGTAGCAGCTGGAACCAATGTGCCTAAGGCACACGGCTTGTCGCTGATAAATTGAACTGAATTGATACACAGGGTGAAACCAGAAAACGGCATCAATCTAACAACAGCCTATCATGAAGGGTCAGTTACTTCAATTGAATTCAAGTACCAACTCGAATACAAGACAATTCTTCGTCATTTAAACACGGAGCGGTCAAAGTGCCGGGATCCGCTTCGAAGATTGTACCTACTGCCCATTAAGTTCACATCTTGGCCCCTGCTGAGCTACGGGGCGAGATGGCTCAAGTGGTTAAAGCATGAATTTATTGACCAGAAGATCTGTGGTTCGAACCCGACCTCTTGACTTCCCCTGTCTAGACTTGGGCAATCTGGCAATCCCATACCTCGTGCTCGTTTCTGGTTGCATGGCAGTTGTTGGGCACCGAAAAGGTGCCACAGCCGAAAGACCTCCTCTCTGAGGTGTGTCGAGCTCAAATGGTTGTTGTATGGGTCAGTTCACATCAGCCAATGTGACATAACGAGATGAAATTGCATAGTAATCGTCAGCCGACCTCTTCTTGTTGTAATGAAGGTAAGTTTATGTTACCTGGCTGGACTCGAACGAGAACCACGGAGGCTTTTGCCGTTGCAGTGGAAAAAAATCATATGTTAATCACTCAGCGGACATCGAGTTCTCGTGCGCTGTTCCAATCGGTGTTTCAGCTTTATTGGATTCAGCCTATATTGCAACTGAGATATGACCGAAGAAAAGTCGGCTTAAGGCTACTTTATCAGCCAAGTCCAGTGATGTAGCTAGCTTACGACATCCACTGGTTGACGTGAAAGTCTACAGGAGGCTTTGGGTAAATTATGTGAACAGTGTTCTTTCCTGGGGAGTAGACTAGCCGTTTTGGGAACTCAACCTCAATTCCACCGGATTGCGTCGGGAAAAATTGGAGAAGGAAACACCTGACAAAAACCAATCTGCCAGTTAATTTCGAGAGATGAAGGATAGTTGGGCCTCAAGATCCAGAACAATTCGAATGACTAGGTAGCATACACCAGGTAGCGACAGGCGATCAGATAATCCATGGGCACAAAGGTAATCGTGATTCTAAGACATCTGTGCAACGAGTACCATCGTCGAAAGTTGCTAAATACGAACGGAAGAGAGCGGAAAAAAGATAGCCTTATCCACCCAGGACTACTACTGCGATAACGGTGTATAGTACTGAGGGAACACCCGAGTAGTATCTAGTCGTGGAGTTTAAACCGCCGTTCTTGCATTTGCTTAAGCGTTTACTTCAACCGTTTAACAGTGCTGGTTAATTATTGTTTGGTACTCAAACAACGTCCACCAATTACGCTTGAGGATGTTGATTTTTTCGGAAAAAGTGTGTACATGAGGTTTTTGCCAATAACCGATTTGGTGCTCGAAGGCGCGTTTCTTTCATTATTACTCACCTTCATCCGTCTCGCCCTCCTCGCTTGAAATGAGAATCACTCCACGATCTTCCAGCTCCACATCTGGAGCCAACATCCCCAAATGTCGAATGAGAATACGATCGCGAAGTACTCGAAGGGTTAGTTCAGTGGGAACGCAAACCAAACCCAGTTGGGTCCGCGTCGCTTTGGTGCTACAGACCAAACAAGATGAGTTTGCCACCGGGGGTTCACACGGTACAACCAATCGCCGATTGCCCGGACGGCCGGTAGGTTGACGATGTAGATAGACTGTGCGAATGTGCTAGAAGTAACGGAATAATGAAGCCTTCAAGGGACGTTAGAGAACATTAACGTCTCGGTGATTCAAAAAAACATGCAGCCAGAATGTTGCAAACAACTGGGTCCTTTGAATCACTGATATGCGAATCGGTCAACGTGCACGCAGCTGGGTCTCATATCGTCGATCTACCAGCGTTCAGTCTGTTCCAGTTCAAGTGAGAATCAAGCAATCGCAAGTTCACTGGCTTCCGTTTGGGTATAATCAGACCAAAAGGACTCAATTGTACGGGGTCAAGCGTTCGAAAGCGTATCGTGCTTATTTACGTCACTTACATTCGTCCATGACACCAATCACTCATTTTTTTAATGCTAATCGGGTATGGATCGGAAAAAATATATATAGAGCAAATTCGCCCACACCTTAGAGCTGATTGCGACAGGGTGTAGAGAAGTGTAGAACTGATCATCGCTGAAGAGTGCCATACACAAACCCAAAGTCAGTGACAATGAGAGGTTCTCCCTGTTTCTTTCGAGAACATACCATTGGTGTTCGACACTGATGCTCCGCTGCCGTACGACTATAAGTTGTTTGAAAGACTTACTGTGAAGAAAAGAATAAAAGTGGACGGGAAGAAAACTTATATAGAGAGCAAATTCGCCCACACCTTAGAGCTGATTGCGACAGGGTGTAGAGAAGTGTAGAACTGATCATCGCTGAAGAGTGCCATACACAAACCCAAAGTCAGTGACAATGAGAGGTTCTCCCTGTTTCTTTCGAGAACATACCATTGGTGTTCGACACTGATGCTCCGCTGCCGTACGACTATAAGTTGTTTGAAAGACTTACTGTGAAGAAAAGAATAAAAGTGGACGGAGAAGAAAACTTGGTGCTTGCCTACCACAGTCTTTCTGAGATGCCTACAGCTCCAAACAATCATGCAAGCAATCTAGATAGAAACTGGCGAGGAGAACGCTACTGACATCGTTTAGCAACCATAATTTGCGAAATCTCCAACCACGGACCCAACCCAAGAAGACCAGTCGCACCGATAGTGGCCAGATTTTCCGTAACCTTTGTTCTACACGATAAACTGAATTAGACTCCGCCTAAGATTAAATGTTTTCATCACCAAAAACCGGCTTTTTATGCCTTTAGCTCTGAGACGACAGGCAGGCAGATGAATCGAATAGGGAGGACAGCAACCAATTGTAAATTTCAATTATTGCTAGTCTTTTGCAGTCGTTACAGGTGATGGACCAGCACTGTCACGGGAAGGAATTCCAGGTTTCAATTAGCCCTCGACAACAACAACGTGGGCAAAACATCAGGAACATACACTGGCGTGTGAAAGTCCAAAACGAAAGGTGTGCTGAGGAGTTGCAACAAAAAGCTCAGTAACCTTGGGAAAATGGTCGATGCCTGCTTGGGCTTACAGCTCTCCGGTATGCACATCCGACAGCCGTGTTGGAATACATCAACAGCAGGGTTTGTCCGGCATCCTTAGACCCGCAAGCGCAAAACACGAGAACACACAAAATTTGGCTACTTAGCTCGGATGGTATGCTCGTTATGTGCAACCAGAACCATGTGGGACCATCTAGAAAGAGGCAAGGATCTTACCGCGTTCAGAACAACAGTTGCCGTTTTCCGTTTGTATTGCTATAGCATGGCCTGCTCCGCATCAACTGGGATCGGTTGTTGATCGGGTGGCAGTTGATCTGTTCGCCAGGCTTGGTAATCGGTTTGCATGCGAGGGGGGGTTGTCAGTGCACGACTGGGTGGGTATCAAGCGAAGCGCCAGGCTAGGCGAACAGAGCTATTGCCAATAAACTCACCCGAGCCACCACTTAATCAATCTTTCCGAGGGAACTAGTAATGAATAGTAGTGTCCAAGTTCTCCTCAAAGTTACCAAACACCTACTGAGTTCGGCTTCAAAGATACATTGAACAAAAACCCCGATAGTATTGTGAGACTATGATTGACAGAGAACAAGACGGAAGGGAGCGCTAACCTTTTCTGCACCAGCCAGAATATGTCTAGCTTGTAAAACCATTAGCCCGGCAATCACAGCATTCGTGGTTGCAATCGCGGGAATGATGTTTCCGGCCAACGACTTGGTGATGAATCGGTTGAGTTCGGACGAGCCAGGTAAATGGAAGAGTTGGGCACGGAGGATGGCTGCACTGGCAACGAAATCCATGGCTTCGGTGTCATCCTAGAACAAGGGAAAACGGAAAGGAATGGCGATTAGGCGTAGTCTTAGTTTCATTCTATTCTAAGTCAACCTTTGAAAACCGAGTGAACAGTGTAGCACAGTGTTGTGTCTTGCTGAACGTTAGTGCAACTCTGTATCGGTCCCTTGGCTTCCTGCTCCGCCAACTATATCAAAAGGCACGGTAGCTCTACACAACCCTTTATGGAGGCAAAAGGAGAATCATGACATCTCTATTCATAGGGTAATCACAGTGTTCCACAAGGTCGTGCTGGAATCACCGTGAGGGGGCGAGAAGCGTCGAGTCAAAGATGCCTGATCCGGATTGGCTGGCATTCCGACCAATCAGAGCATGCCTTTGTTTGGTCCATGTCCTGCACGTGACTTATCCATCCAAATGATGTGGTGTTATCAGGGACGGCTGGCCTCCATACGCACAGTTTGAATAATCTTACAAGTTTAGTGCAGAGAAGAAACCAAATTTGATTTGAACCCGTTCGAACCGATTTAGAGCTGCCTTTCATGGGTGGAAGAGCCACTTACATGAGCAGTGGCCAAACAACGGATAACCCTGCGAAGAGAAACCATTCTGGTGGAGAATTCAGTGTTCCTTGCCGATGACCTTTTGATGTGCGATCCTAATGAAGAAAAGTAAGCCCAGGTAGGCTAAACAAACTTTGTGATGGTGATGAGGATGATGATGATGATCGCTAAATAAGTGGTCACAGGATAAGTCCTCAGTGAACAGGAGGACGGTGTAGTGTAAGAGTCCGAATCTCACTAGCCGTGGACACGCGTGATCCATGTGGATGGAGGCTGTCAAAATCACCCCCAGAATATCTTCTCTCTTTAAATTTCGAAGCTCTCTCTGCACATACCTTCCAAACACATCCGTGTTGGTAGTGACCGACCAAGAAACCAGCATCAATACTGACCAAAGGCTTGATACAGACCCAATTTTGAGACAGCTCTGAGGGTGCAGAACATTTTCTATCTCGATTTCTCTCCCCTGCCCCAGAAGAACATTCCACTAAAGCCGAATAGGAGGTATTCTGAGTCCCTACGCCCGACAATCAATTACCACGTTGAACGTTGTCATCAGTATCACTGAACCACTGACCCATCACTTAGGTGAGCTCGAAAAAGAACACATTGACGAATATTAATGTTTTCGGGATCTTGTCATCAGGTCAGTACATATCTACTAGTTAAAATAGGAGCGAAAATGAAGTACGTTGCGAAGTTTGGTTAGTGAAATGCAAAACGTGGAGGCACGAACGATCGGTTGTCTGCGCCCCCACGTCGCATCCAGTTGGATGCTGAGAATCTGGTGGGCTGTTGAGTGACTTGGCCAGTTGATTGATGTCACACGACCAAGGCAGACTCAGCGTTCGTACGAGACGGTTTTGACACCAAAGTACTGGGTTTCGCAGGCGTATAATGACTGCCTCGGTTGAATAGATACCGGCAATCTATTTGATACACGGTAAATGAATTGAAATGACTCATTTGGTATAACTACGTTCCCGGTGTCAATTAGGTGGGGCGCGATTGAGCTTCTGACTGAACTGTTGAGGATAATGGTTTTCCGATACGAGAGGTGCTCGCGTATTCCCTTATAAAGCTGGCGTGTCTTGCACCCAACATACTCCGCTGAACCATAGCAAAAGAAAGAATACACAACCATACTCTAGGTGAGGACCGGCATCTTGTCTTTGAGGTTTAAGTTGAGCAAATGGTTTGTTGTAAACCAATACCGCAGAGTTACGGCCGGAAACGTGGGTTGTGGGGATTGAAACAAGCGGCGATTGACTGTGTCCGCCAACTGTGTCGCCTTTATACGGTTAACTCAGGTATACTGGCTTCTTCCCAACGGTCGTGATAGGCGGTTGGATAGGGCGAGCGGACATACTCTTGGCCATCAATCTCTCCCGGTAACCATTGGCTCGTAGCACGTTAGCAATGTGCTGCAGTTCGGAGTCCAGTGTATCAGCAGAGCAAATACGTTTCGCTCGGTTCCGTAAAGTATGAATCAGGGTTCGTTTCCGCCTCAGTTGCACAAAACTCAGGAGGTTTGTGTACTGTCCCGTCCATGTGGGCCTCTGAATTGAATTCGTGGAAAGTCTGACTAACTTAACGTCTAGGAAGTGGAAAGCGTTGTCACTTTCATTTTCAAAAGTGAACTGAATAGAGGGATGTGCTTGGTTGAAGTTGGTCAAGAGAACATCCATTTCGGAACGGTTTGATACTACCATAAAAATATCACTTACGTACCCTCAATAAAAGTGCGTTCGTCTAATTGACCAAGCTCCAGTTTGCCCATAAAAATGTCACTCAAAAATGGGCCAAGAGGAAAACCCATGGCGACTCTATCGATTCGTCGGTAAAGTGTGGTGTTAAATTGAATTGTACGTTGAAAGTACAGCGAAGAAGTAGTTCTGGCCTGATGACGAGATCCCGAAAACATTAATGTTCGTCATTGTGTTCTTTTTCAAGCCATGGGGATATTTAAGCAATTAAGTGAGTTCGTCCAGACTAGAGAGACCAGAGAGAGATTGAATATGGGATGGCGCAGTGATATTCATGAAATCTTCGAAAACTATCATTTTTTTCTTCAAAGTGCTGCTCAACGAGTGCGTGAACTCATTAGTCAGAAGGTCCGTGGTTCGAACCCTAACCCCTGTACCACCACCATGAATGTACAAGCTTGGGCAAGCTGATAGTATCTCATCTCGTGCTTTCTTCGAGTGGCATAGCAGCTATGCACCGAAAGGGCGTTACAGCTGGGAAACCAATATTCCGAGCAATTCGGATCAGTTCGTGGTTCTCTTAACTCAACGCCATCACCCAGTCTTCCCGCATGTTATCGATATTACATGAACATAAGAACCAGAACAGTGAAAGCAAAACACGGCTTGCACACCCCAAAAAGATATCCTCTTCCTGGTAAATTAAAGTACATAACACTGGTGGTCGTCTGGTACGACTAAAAGTACGACTTCTCGAGAAAGAACCCACTTCCCAAGACAGTGAATGGGCTTTGCGGATGAATATCAGGAATATCACGTTGAGTCACTCAGAAGAAGTAAAGATCTTTAACTGAGGAGACCTGAACCCTGTCCTGATCACTGAACCAGCACTGTTCCCCCATTAAGTACCATGAAGGAAACATAACGGGATAGTACTCACACTTTCCTTATTTTAGCGATAAGTCTTAGGGTTGCCTCCATTTTCAAATTACTACTAACTTGATCAGCTCTTGCGCCAAATGCAAAACCTTGCAGAACTTATCGTGACTTAACCCGGGCAAAAAACTTCGTATGCAGATCTGCCCGACAATGCTCAAGTAGATAAAAGCTAATGGTCAGGGAATTGTATTTTACTAACAATACAGATGCGACTTTCATCATTCCGTTGGGTTTCTACGCAATCAATAATAATACTGAGTAATCCACAGACCTATAGAGTAAGTGAAGAGGTATACAGAACGTATCTTGCATGAGACGGCCATCATGGTGGGTTTTTCTGTGGAAGAAATGAAATATATTTCAGCTATCGTCTGTGGGAGTTTCGTTTCGGTACTTTCCACAATGTCAGGCCAGGAATATCGATGCCAGATATAGTAACCAATAACGTCAATGGCCATTCTAAGGGAAGAGAGGCGGGGACCTATAGATAGGCTACATCTTGAGCCAACGTGATCGCCCAGAGATATACCGAAGGACGAAATCAGTAACAGCAAAGTTGGAGTATTTTGGAAGAAGCATTGTGTTCAGTCCTGACAAGCCCTCTCGTAACGACTCTTGCTCGAACGCAACCGGATAGGTGAACGCATCAGCCAGAAAGGGTAAGTTAATAATTCTCCTTAAATATGCCAATCTGTCAGTCGTAACGGAAAGGGGTTGGTTAAACAAAATAGTGACAGAATTCCTCCCCTCAAAACGTATGCAGTAGAAATTAGAAATGTAAACTCGATGCGTAAGGCAAAGGAAGCCGATCTACCAGCGATAGAACCTAGGTTTCGTGCAGCGTCGCAGGAGCCGCAAGCTCGGTATGTTCGGTATGTATGTTTTGTCTCGTTACTCATGAGTAGTGATAAAACGTCGAAACTTTTGAAAGCAAGCGCTAGCGGTAGAACTCCGGATCAAGCGGGCAACCGCAGCGAAGGTAATCTTCACAATGCGACAAAGGGCAAACGAAACAGTTCCTTAGGTGAACGGACGTTACGACATCAAATAGCACAAGCACCAATCAGGCACCATTTGATGTTAACGGCTCGGGCACAAACATCAGACTGCAAGTCATCAGCACCGCCAATACGGGCGAGACCTCTCTAGATGCGTGCGACTAGACAACCAGCTTGAGTGTTGCCATGACTGCCATTCACGGCATTGTAACCGAGCACATGTGGCGGAAAATTGCAGACTGTGTATGAAGATGAGCAGAATGTCCAAGGTTTTTTCAAGACCCGTTTGTTGTTACGATGTTACTACCAGCTTGCAAAAAGCTGGAGCGACCTGACTTGATGCCTTGACAAAACCTTGCTTTCCAAAATCATACTCAGGTAAGACTACAGTTGAAGGTTGCTACCTATTGCAGCTCCGTTAGCACCTACACACGAGAATCGGCAATGGAATAGTCATCGTCGGTGGGTGACTATACAAGTTGTCTACAAGCATCTAGAACCATTCCATCTCAAGACATCCAGACTGTAATCTAGAGATGTCTGAATGTTAAGTTGGGACGCCGTGGTAGGGACCCAACTTTGAGGGGCGCGAATTCCACAACAGCAAATTCACTAGGGCATCCGACGTTAAATTAGTTCACCTCCTGCCACTTTTGTCACAGATGAGCAATCAAGCGTTCAGACAATCTCGTAGACAGATACAGGGCACGCAGTTTGGAGGATGATAAATAAGAGGACAACAATCACAATTTACACGCTAAATCCTCGCGCAGGGAAATATATTCTTCAGTATGAAGATTCGGTTTGCTTCTGATGTAGTCCAAGGATAAATCTTCGCCTGATATATATTTGGCTTTAGTTTAGGCCAACTTAATCAGAACGTCTGATCAAAATTGCAAGCAACCGCTCCGACGATCGACCTGTTTTATTTTGTCATCTCGCTACTCATAAGTAGTGCAGCTGAATTCGACGTTCATTCATTATAGCAGGTCGGACTGTCAAGCCTTAGGTGGAGACAACAATAGTTAGGAGTAGCAAAGTCCGTCAAGAAACGATAGTCCGCGTTGACCTCGAATGTCATATGACACATGACCAATTGAAGGGACAGACGTTCGGGCGTTTGTTTGAGAGTAGGCGGAAAGATCCCTAGTTGGCCCCGATAACTGACTGAGGCCCTGCTGCATAAACCACCGCTCAGTTGAGCGTATAGGTGGCATCTTAGTCTTGAATCGCTACGAGGAAGGCTATGCTACTTTCATTGACAACACTGGGATGGTTCTCCCAGTGGATCCGGACGACCTATTATTGCATGAAAAGTGGAACTCTCAACAGCAATATACCCCATGAGGAAATAAATCCGCCTAAAAAAACAATTTGGGTAGAAGCAGATTTGTTGCACTGAAATTATCGTGAGATAAGTAAACCCTCTGGAACGGCCGAGTGACTTCCAAAACGAGAACGTACCAACAGAAACATCCTACACAACTGATTTACATGTTCGATTCAATATCACGTTAAACGGGTAGCGTCATAAGTGGTCCTGATACACTGCACCATCACATAAACTTGAGTGAAGTAAATCCAGATGTAACGTCGGCGGGTAATGAAAGTTTGAAAAACAGGACTGGGCGGCAAACGATAACATGATATTTGATGAGATCCCAAAAACTAAGCCATCCTCTTTCCTATGGGGTAGTTGATCATAGTCTGATTCATAGTGTAGCCCAGCTAGGTTGCCCATAGCCGTTCACAATAACGCGCGATTGCAGGCTTACGCATATTCAGTGTGTCGTATGTATCAATTGAGACACAGAATCAACCAGAAACGCACATGCATACCTTGCCGAACACCAAGGAAGATAGGCTTGGTACCAACCAACAAAGCTACTACAAGACGGAGAGGAGTTATACCGGGGCGCATTTTGGTCGACCATTTCAATCCACTCAGGACCTAAATTAAGAGTGCCCCAATGCGGACTTCACCTTTGCAAGACGAGGAAAACCAACTCACAACTTGGAAAAAGGGAGCGGTCTTCACACGCCGGTCGGGCTGCCACTGGCTCGCCATTCACAGGCGCTATCCCGCTACTGCACCACGCGGGGACTTTTGCCTGCTGGGTTTCCCCCCTGGGCCGGTTCGCCCCTCCTTAGGCGACCTGGACAGCCTGCCCTCCGACTGACCATCCATATCGGCGCCGTGCTTAGCGTGGACGCCCGATCAACATGCACGAGCCAGCGCCAGAACTCCCGACCCCGCGAAATTCCGCCACCAGGCCTCCAAGTAGCTAGATTACAGGCGCACGCCACCACGCCCAGCCGACCATACGGCTGTTGGTAAGCTACACGAATATCAGTGTGTGGCTACCAGGAGAGAATGACGGATACACGGACCAATTAGAGCAGCAAAAAGCTTGGTACACACGTGACAGACACACGCACCAATCAGAAGAAAAAAAGCTGGTGCACACGTGAAGCACGTAAGCCAATCACCTAGGTGCTACGATGTATTGCGAACGTAGGGGGTTGATTTCGCCTAGTCTGCTGCCTATCACCACTTACCAAATGGACAAGGCGGTGTAGCGGCGGCAGCGTCAGCTACCCTACCAGTTGAGCACCAGTGAACAAAATGCTTCGCAAGGAAAGCGCTTATTGATCAACTAAGGATGCAACAATTTATTTTTACTTTTCCTTTGTTGAGGACATGCAAGCCGTCACGTTGTTTTACTGGACTGAGGAGGAATTACGATGATGCGCTAGTTACTATTGGAAAACGTCCGAGTTACTCCCGTCTCTGGTACCTCAGTATGTACACGAAAGGTTTACTGAGAAAGCACATGCACAAGCATCCACAAATGAACGAGCACCCTTTACCTCTAGCCACCAGGTAAAAGTCAGTAAAAAACAGTCCACAAGAGATTCAGAGATTCGGTTGTCTCCCGTTAAAACCGAACCAGCTTGCAAATGAATGTATACCTTTAATGCGTACAATGTGGTGTTCAAATAGAAGATAAGGTTGACGGAAATTCTGGACTGTGCCTGCTCCCCCATGACCCTCAGGAGGAGCGACATCGGATGTGGACTGTCGCAGGGTCTTCATCGATCTTGTGAGTAGTGTCTGTCAGGAAAAATACTTCAGTATGCAGAATATTATAACAACTGGAAGCCCAGACGGTCTTTGTGCAACCTATTCAGTTGAAGAACAACATAAACAGAGATACCGCAGAGAGATAACAGAGAGAGAGAGATAACAGAGAGATAACAGAGATAACCGCATTAGGAAGTATGCGCGGATCGCCACAGAAGAAAGGGACACTTGTTTGAGAACGATAGGACCAGCTCTACTACAAGAACTCAGTATAGCCATCGAACGAAGAGTTATGTCCGCTGCGGAAAAGAAGCGAATTATTCTAGAAACCAAGTTTTCAAGACTGATCAGAAACAACAAAAATGGTACCATCACCACCAACAACGAGACGTGGATCAAGAACCTCTCTAGCAAACGACTGACTGCTCAAGAACAGGATGTTCTTGTTAAAGGACTAAACTTCAATTTCAAAGATGCCACCAATCTAGAGTTCTTGGCCAGCCTAGAGGCAGCTATGAAATCCGCCGAACTGGATGAGAATGCTCAACAACAACTCCGTCAAACTGTGGTACCGGCCATCACACGAAACAAAACTCTCAACCTTCTCTCAAACAAGGAAAGGGAAGCATTAGAAAATTTGAAGAAAGATGAAACCATCATCATTCTACCTGCGGACAAAGGACGGATGACCGTTATCATGGACAAATCGGACTACGTAGACAAAGCAAAAGCTCTGCTCAACGACACTACCACGTATCGCCGTCTGGAGGATGATCAAACTAAAAAACTTGCGAACAAAATCAACAAGAGCCTGAAGCGACTGAAGGACCTCCAAAAGATCACAACCGAAGAATATTGGCGAATGAGAGCCAGAGAATCCAATACCCCACGCTTCTACGGACTCCCGAAAGTACACAAGGAGACCACACCACTAAGGCCAATTGTGTCACTCCCAGGCACACCAACCTACAACCTTGCAAAGGAACTATGGAGAAAGGTCAAGTATCTCATCAATGAATCGCAACACTCAATCAAAAACGCACAACAGTTCTTGGATAAACTAAAGAATGTGACAATAGAAGAGGACGAAACAATGGTCTCATTTGATGTCAGCTCACTGTTCACATCAGTGGACCTTCACTCGGCAAAGACAACAGTCGCTGAACTACTGGACAGTCATGGACCTCCCAGTGGACCTCTAAGGAAGGAAGACATATGTGAATTGCTCAGCCTCTGTTTGACCACGTACTTCGAATTCAACGGTGAATACTACGAACAATTGAAAGGAGCACCAATGGGTTCCCCAATTTCAGGGTTCATCGCCGAGATCGCAATGCAAAAACTGGAGAGGACCGTGTTGCCGGACATCAACCCGAAGCTTTGGGTACGTTATGTAGACGACACTTTTGTCATCATCAAGAAGAGAGAACTACAACGAGCAATCCAATTGATAAACAGTGTCTCCGATGACATCAAGTTCACGATGGAAGAAGAAAACAACAACAAACTGGCGGTTTTAGATGTCCTCGTCACAAGGTTGCCGAACGGACAAATGCAAACGGAAGTCTACAGAAAAGCTACGCACACGGATCAAATTCTGAGCTACCACAGCAACCACCCAAACTGCCACAAAGAGAGCTGCATCCGGACACTATTCAAGCGAATTGAAACACACTGCAACACAGTAGAATCTAAAGTAAAAGAAGAGAAACGCCTATACAGAATGTTTCAAAGGAACGGTTACCCAAGGAATTTCGTCTGGAGATCTCTGAGAAAATGCAATTCAACCAACGCGACAACCAGAAACACAAGCAAAACAATCACATTACCATATATCAAAAACATTTCGGAGATGACCGCCAGGATATTACAACAGCATGCCATAAAAGTGGCCCACAGACCGACTGACACGCTGCGAAGAGTACTATCAAAACCAAAGGGGACACTTAATGCAATGGAAAAGACAAATGTAATCTACAAAATTCAATGCAATGATTGTGAAAAACACTACGTGGGACAAACAGGGAGGAAACTGTCAACCAGAATCACCGAACATAAGCTCGCCACCAAGAGACATGACCAACTCTCTCTCATCTCTGCACACGAAGATGGGGAAGGACACCATTTCGATTGGAATAACGTCAGAATACTGGGCCAAGCAAGAACAAAGAAAGAACGCGAGTTCATGGAGGCGTGGTACTCCACTGGTGGAGCAATAAACAGGCACATTGACATTGATCCTGCCTACCAGCCTCTGAGGACAAAGGAAATCCAGAACCACAGAACCCGAGGCCGGACAAGGACTCAAAGAAGAAATCAATAGAACAGCAGGCTACTAAAAATAGGAGGCACGCCACAAACCAACAGATAAGCCGACCACGACGCAATACAGATCAAGAACGGGCCAATCAGAATCCAGGTTACAGCGCAAAGGCTGCTCTTTGTAGACTATATAAACGCAGGCACGAAGAGAGGAACTACCCAACCAACAGCGCACTGAAGATGTCTCCTCGAATGGTGACGAAACGTTTGCAAATCAATTGCCAAGCTCGGCGAACAGATCAACAGCCACCTGATCAATTACCAACCAATACACCCGAGCTACCAATATTCCAAAACATTACCATAAACAGAGATACATCTGGGGTTCAGCTAACACCAGATTAATCCGCAACTGATGGAACTTCGCCGAATGCAGGTTCACATTTGTTTAATTCTGTTTGGTTGCATACACTCGGTCGGTCCCGATGAGCTTCCGGAATCCGCAAAATCGGACAACTTCCACGGTGTGTTCGAGGTGACACTCATCGGTATGCATTCGGCGGTTGAGACCATGGGGATATTTCTAGGGTATCAAAACTCTCAGGACAACGGTCGCTGAGTGACTATGCTTCCACAGTACAAATCCATACACACAGCTTAAGATGACAGATTTCTAGGGACGTAGTCAGTAAACGGGGAATGAACTGACCGGACTGGAGTTATGTGCGAATGTTCGAAACCAATTAGCTTTGGTGGTTCTCGTCGAATAAGCATAGAATTGGGCAGAAAATAATACAAGGGGTTTTGGACACACATGGATGAGCACGTTTCAGAATTTTTCACAGTCTGGAAGACCTAAAATGGCTGTGGGAGGATTATTTTGGTTGGTACCAAAGGTGTTACCGTTAAGGAAACCTTAGTGTGCAACAGAGAAGCCGACTGCTCTGTTTGGGGTAAGGGGTAAATACACGTGACTGAGCGGGTGCACTCTTGCACAGGCTTGCATTTTGGTCCCTATCAGGCATACACATCTGGACATTTTGTCAGGATGGATTATCTCTAAGCACAGCCAGGTGAGAGGTGGTAGGACTCGGAAAAAGATGAGCACAAACTCATGCGACTATAGGACGACTAGCTTTCAACGATTGTCTAAAAGGGTTGCCTGTTTCCGTCACGGGGTCCCCAACGTCACAATGGGAGATTCTACTTCAGAGAGCACAGATATTCAGGTGATAAGCGGAGATTAACCAGACGCAGTACAGTGCACAGGAATCATAAGTGACCCAGAGGAGGAATCAGGCACGTATAATTTCGAATGAAAATTGTGTGGAGGCCCGGAGAGTACGGTAGGCGAAATCGTGGGCCGATGCTTACGTAGGGGGGACCATGAGATCGATAACATGCCCTCCCCTCTCGAGAAATTCCACACCTGTTGTAGAAGCTGGATTGAAAGTACACCACTCACTCACCTTGTCCCAAACAAGGGGCTGGGCAGAACTGGAGGCCAAACGGAGTTGGAGAGCTTGCACGCTATTCATAAAAGTACGCAGCCAACCAGCAGATGACAACTGCCGTTGGTCACGCAGTTGTTCTGTGGACGGACAATGGCTGTCTGATCGAGGAGGCGCAGATAATCCTGGAAACAAGTGGTAGCAAAAATTTGTGTGATTGCGACTGTACCACTGCACAAATGGCAGTGTAATAGTTGGAACAGGACAGTTAAAGAATGAAGAGGTTCAGGGTTTTTCCCTAGTCAACCACAAAGCTACAATTGAAATTTAATTAGCTAGGCAAAGAGCAGTGAATCTAAGTACAGCGAACAATTACGGACTCGAGATTGTCCAGTGGTCGAGGCACGAAGCTACTGACCGGGAGGCCCGTGGTTAGAACTCAACCCCGATGTTTCAGCTGGGCTTGGCGGTATCCCAGATGGCATAATAGCTATGTACCGAGTAGTACAGATGAACGAGCTTTTTATATCACGGACAGTACCTCCTGTCCAGTGGTCGAGGCACGAAGCTACTGACTGGTTCTCAAAACCATCAACTTCGTAGCCGTCCACGAACCAATCAGTTTGGTCGTACTCAAGCAACTGTGTCTTGCACACAGACACCAGAAGTAAGGCACCTAAGTTGTGATCTTGGACTGGGCAAGTGGATGGGACTTCAACTCTGTAGTACTGGAGAGGATTCCTCACAACCGCCAACTTGTGGTTTGGGTTTTTCTAGTTTGATGCCCAAGGTAGAATACGCAGAATACTCATTCTTGCACCTGAACAACCAGGAAGTACAAATCGTCCCTGGCGCACATCTGTGTGCCAAGTAGAACATAGGCATATACACGGCTCGTAGGAGTGTTACAAGAACTTACCGCATTTCGTTTCCATCGCCTTGGACAAATCTGAGGCTAACAATGGACTGGGTTCACGACGATCCTGTCGATCGACCCACAAGTCACGCATTCCAACCAGAGTCACAATGTCTTGGTGGAACAGGCGCCAACAGAGGGCACGAACAGCCGGTGAAATGACAGAATCTACTTCCGACTGCATCAGTTTCGATGACTGACGATCACCGTCCCATTGTTTTGTAAACCAGTCTCTTAGCGTGACCCGATCGTTAGTCCCGTTGGACATTGACTGGCCGTTGAGCTTGGAGTGTTCGGTATCTGAAGGTTCTGGAACGGGAGTTTTCTGAAGATCCGGATCGCTCGGATCGGGTGAGATGTCTTCATCGTCAACGTCTGGTTCCCCGAATAGTTGACTATAATTGAAAATGGTGGAAGAATTTAATTCCTGAGCCTTCAAAAACATAGTGGACGAGTAGGAAGCTGCGAAAATGGGGTAGGAAGAAGGATGGGAGGCCGGAGAAAGAACGTACTTGAAGAGATACTTGGCCCAAACCACACAGTGTATGGGTTCGGAAGGGGTATTTCTAATCGTGCACGCAGGAAAGGTTCGCTGGCCGGCACCACGTGGTTGACACTCATAGCAACCAGTACGGAAGCTGCTGCAACAGTCTCCATCAGATGTGGTTGAGGGTGCGCAGAAGGCAGAAGGAAGTCCTGCCGGCAGAAGCGGTTCAACTTGACCCAAGTAACCAGCGGTGCCGGATTCAATGAGTGGACGCTTGGCGGCTAGGCATAACCGGTTGACATGCCGCCGGGCGGCTGAAGATGGAAATCGAAGCTGAATTAGGAGCAATAGTTACTGAACAGTAAGTGAGAACCTCTAAAAATATCCATTCCCCCCCCCCACACACACACACACACATACACATAAGTAGAAGGGGTATCTTATGTCCTGGAATGTTTTTTAGGTTGAACATAGCGTAACCGAGAAAACAACAATCAAGTAAGACAGCCAATTTTCTGTTTCGGAAACTTAATATCTTTTTCGTGCAGTTTTCCAAGACATAATACTCGCCGTGAAGAGCACTCAAACGGCACAGTTATTCCATCTGAATCTGCCCCAAATAGCCGAATTGGCCCTCCTCCAATAAGAGGACAGCGTCTAACGACGATGCTCTTTGTGATCGCTCTGAACTGATGACTAGATGCCAGTCCACGAAACACTGCGATGCTATACTTAACCTGACCTATTGGATCAAATGAGATGGCAGTGCCATAACTACAAATGTAGTAGTGTAGGTCCTGAGCCTGGTTATTGCGTTGTGGCTAGTAACATTCAACAACGAAATTGCACGCTGGAATTCCGTTGCCCATGGTTGACTGCTACCGACATTCAACTCGGATTCATTTGGTCCGACTAGAGTTTGGGTTGATAGGCGCCAAGCGAATTGCCCTTCAAATTGCCGTTCAAGACGAAGTTTCTGTGAAAAGAGTTGGGTTCCATCTTTTTCGGAGATAGTATCACAAACGCCCGCCATTCTCGGATTGGAGGATAAGGCGCAAGTGGTCTTGGATAACTGACCAAAGTCATTCCGTCCCTTAGTATGCACTCTGCATCAAAAGTGTAAGGTCATGCTCGTGGACGAGCAGTCACTGAACGCGCCACTTACAATCCAGTGAGAGGCACTGGAAGTTGTGGAGCGTTTTACGTATTTTGGAAGTTGTATTAGTTCCGAGTGTGGTGTGACAAATGAGGTCAATGCACGAATCTGCAAGGCTTGCGTCGCGTTTGCTAATTTGAAATACCTATGGCGTCAAAGTGGCATATCCCTGAATCTCAAGGGACATGTGTATCAAGCTATGTCAGTGGTGTTCTTGTTGTCAGTTTCTATCCATATTGCCTGAGTAAGTGTTTGGAGGTGTAGGCACTTCGGAATGACTGTAGTAAGCTAGCACTAAGTCCCTTCCCCATCCACCTTTATTTTTTCTTCACAATAAGGTCTTCAAATAAATCATGGTCTTACGGCAGTGAAGCGTTGGTATTTTACACTGAAGCCATGCTATCGATGATTCTCCGACACTAACCCAAACGAGCTATGGTCCTGAGACATTGACTGTCAAACACCTGAAGATGTCTCAGTTACGCTGCTCGAACAGGCCAAGTCTCACAACCATACAATAAAACATCCCGCACTGTAGCTTGATATATACGTCCCTTGAGATTCAGGGATACACCACTCTGACGCCATAGAGGTTTCAGATTAGCAAACGCGACCCAAGCCTTGCAGATCCGTGCAACGACTTCATGCCACACTACAATCGGAACTAATACAATCTACAAGGTGTGTACGGCACTCTACAACTTCCAGTGCCTCTTCCTGGATTGTAAGTAGGGTGCTAAGTGACTGCCTGTCCACGAGCATGCCTTACACTTTGTGGGCGCGAAGCGCATACCAAAGGACGGAATAACTCTGGTCAATTCATCGAAAAACACTTGCGTCTTCTTCTCTTCGAAAACGAGGATGATATCGTCTGCATATCCCAGATCGGCAAGGTTTTCGTCACAGGCTATTTAAAAGCCAGGATTTCGGGGACCTTACAGCGTGGGCATTTCTGACGAACACCACTTTATGCACGGAAGCTTTTGGAGAGCTCGCCTTATACTCTCCCACATCCGGAAGTCTGGGAATACAGAGAGCTTATGTCCACAAACTTCCGGGGCACTCCTTGATTGACAGGCGTGTCAAGGAGAACGGACCGGTCAGCCGAATCGAATGCGCTTTGGGAACACAGAAATACTAAAATTCAGGGTCGTTTGTACGTACAGCGTTGTTCTATCGTTCAGAAAATAATCGTTCAGCTGTAACACCCTTTCGGTGTCTCACTGCCATGCCACCCGGAGGAAGCACGAGGGCTGGGATACTGCCAGGTTGCCCAAGCCTAGACAGGGAAGTCGAGTGCCAAATGTCGGGTTCGAAGCACGGACCTTCCGGTCGGTAAATTTGCGCTCTAACCACTTGGGCTATCTCACCCGACGGTGTGTGAACTTCTGGTTGACGCAATCCCTACCAGGCCGGAATCCCGCTTGCCGCTCTCGAGTCAGTGTTTCACGAGCCACCATAAGGCGATGAAACACAAGTGACGCCAGCTTACAACCGGAGTTAAGCTGTTTTCACTGTAGTTGACACACTCATCACAAGCCCCTTTTATGAAAATAAGCACTGCCGTCGAATTCCATCATTTGGGCAGTCTCCTCTCCTTTTCCCAAATGCAGGCAAACAGATCAGTCAAGCGCTGACTGAAGATTTCACCCCGTCTTTGAACAATGCGAGTGGGATGTCATCCAGACAAGAAGCTCAGCGGCACTTGAGAGAGCACATGCAGTCAAAAACCTCCGGGGAGCTCCACGTTCATCGTCCAGGGATCCAGATGAGTGCCAACAGGTGGCCACGATAGCTGGTACTCGAAGTATTCAGTCCACCGGTCGAGGCGTTCTTTTTTTATTAATGATGGTCTGATCCTTGATGGGTTCGCTCACCGGTGCTTACCAGGGACCGATCGCACGGATTAGCTGAAATAATCTGCGGGGCATTATTGGCTTTCTGAATCCCTTCCATTTCCTTAGCTTTCCGGTTCCACCAAATTTCACGGTCGGCTCGCACGTTCACTTTCACTTGACGTCTGATAATTCGTCACATCAAGCTGTGTTCGGGGTCGGCTGGAATATTTCTCTGAGATTTAAGCGGTGACACTATTCGGTCTGATATCCAGTGCTTGAGTGGGCCTGGTATGACGTGCCAAAAGATAAAGCTCTTAAAAACGTGCAGAGAGGTGGCGATCTCGTTCCAGTATGGATTCACATCTGATGGTGGATCATTTGGGAGAGACTTCAGAAGACGATTCTGATAAATTCGTCTAAAACCCAGATTTGCCGGTCTTTCAGTTGCAAGGCGATTTTTCCGCACCTTACGCGGCCCTCGGTAACGAAGGGATAAGCGACTTCGGATGAGTACGTGGTCGGAATCCGCAAATGTGTTCCAAAACAACCGGCAATTAGGTACTGATCAACGACATCTGTAACCGACTTGAGTTGTGGCTGGCATGCCGTTGGAGGACACCAGGTAGCCAGAAGAACTCGGCTAGTCCGGAAGCTAGTACTGTATAAAAACAGCCTGCGGTCAGCACACATCTGAAGCAACCGTTCAACATTGTCAGTACGTACGAGTCCAATCCGTGTCAACCGCCTAAATGAGTCTCAGATGGGCTAAGCTCGCCCATTTGTGAATTCAGATCTCCGGCAACCACAACGATATCTGGGCTTTTAGCAAGCCTCTATGTGGCATTTAGGGCGTCACAGAACTTATCTTTGATGATGTTAGATCTACAGTCTATAGATCTACTGTCACCTTGTCGTAGTGGTCGGGATTTTGTGCTGCAATGATCCTGTGGGCCATACTGGCTGGAACTCAGTTCCTAAAGGTTCAGCCATGGAAGCAATACCAACGGGGAGCAGCCCGACGAAGAACAGCGAGTCCCCATACTGCGAGTAATCGTACTACGAGGCAGTCTGGAGGTGAAGTCGTACTGTCCTTTGCGAGAGGAATGTGAAGGCAGTAAGGCGTTTCCTCCAGGCGACCAGCAAGTCCATATTTATGGAAGCAGTGATGCTGCCTTCCCCCGAGGAATGACGGGTTAGAAAAGGTCGGCCCCAAAAACCGCAAACTCCGATCGCCCAACGGTTGACCGTGACCGCCGGCGCATTATCCAATACGGTCGAAATACTTTTAAAACCAA